AAAAAAAAAAAAAAAATTCTGTGTAAATATCTCATGTAACAACATGGACACCTGTGGTTTGTAGATAAGTGTGGCCTATATATAAAGTTGCATTCAGGCCCAAAAAATCAGATCCGACCCGGCCCCAGCTCGCATCATTTCCGAACCCCACCCGACCTGACGAATTAACAGTAATTACAGGTCCGACCTCAGAAAAAAAACAGACATTTTTAATTAGTTTTTAATGGTCAGGGACGCGCAGCTGAATAAAAGGGGCAGAAGTTCGGAGCTGAGGGGGTCTTTGTCCTTTCATGGCCGTAAAAGAACATTTACACCCTGTTTCTGCTGCATTCGGATTCATTCAGACACAGACCCAGCTCTGACATGTCTGCTTTGTGATCTCACCTGTTTGGGTCATCGGCCGCGCACGTCTGCTGAGTGCAGTGGCTGAATGAACGTCCATTTGGGCGATTGATCACTTCCTGGCAGTATAGTCCCATGAAGCTTAACTGAACTTTTTTTACCTCTTTCAAGGCCGGTCAGCTCACGGTGAAATGGCCATGTGCGACTGGTGAATGTATGGCAGGCCATGTTATCATATAATTGGATTATGGCTGATCCTGACCCAATTGAAAGCCCGACACTGACCTGGCCCACCCATCCAGCACATTATGATTGCCCGGCCCACCCCAAATTCGGGTCGGGTTGTCACGCTCAGCGGCCCCCGCCTCCCCCCCATCTGCCTAAGCCTCTGCTCCTCATATCACAGCCCCTGTTTTAAGATCATTCACGTTTTTTCCTGCCTCAGTTTCTGTTTATTTTATCCTGTTTGGTCCTGCACTGCCTATCACCCATTTTCTGCTCCTGTCACTCTCTCTCAGCAATCTGCACTCATCTGCTGCACCCTGTCTCTGCAATCACCACTCACCTGCCACACCTGTTCAGCTCACTACTTAAGCTCCACTCTCACTCTCCTCAGTGCCAGATTATTGAAAGCCTCACAGCCAGTAAATTATCCAGCATTGACTTGTTCCTAGTTTCTTCGTTTTTGACCACAGCTTCCCTCTTGACTCCTCGCTTTGTCTTTGCCCCTGTCTGGATACCACGCTCTCGGCCTACATGGTTCAACCTCGCTCTCCTCTTCGACCACGACTACGGATCATCGTTTTGCCTGTTCACA